AGTAGTAGTAGTAGTAGTAGTGGTAGTGGTAGTACTAGTACTAGTACTAGTACTAGTACTAGTAGTAGTAGTAGTAGTAGTAGTAGTAGTAGTGGTAGTAGTGGTGGTAGTAGTAGTAGTAGTAGGCGCAGGAGGAGTAGTAGGAGTAGTAGACGTCGTCGTCGTCGTCGTAGTAGTAGTAGTAGCAGCAGAATGGGACTAGGGGTGTCGTGTAAGGCTACAGTCATGGCAGGCTCATGATGTGCATGGTATTCCGGAGTCTATTTCTAGCTCCCTGCTCGACTTCATTTGGCAGCGCGGTCACTGTTTGTTCTCGTGCTTGCAATGGTGACGGCCGGTTACCTAATGTTTCAGAAATGTTCAGAACCCTAGGGGCTTCAAGACCTGAGCCACCTCCCAAATAGCGCTGAGCCCTTGGCTGAATTGGTAATTGAGTTGTTGAGAGATCTTCACGTTTGGAAGATGGGGGCTTTTTGTGCTGGGTGGCCGATGTAACTGCGCTGGTTCGCGCGACACCTCTGAACCGCAAGAACCCGGCAGCCGAGCCTCATTGCCTTAATTTTGCCATTGGGCCTGAGCCCAATGAACTCATCAAAGCTACACCCACCCGTTTCCAACTCCTGACCTTATGGACCTTCCGGACAGGTGAGCCAAGAGAAAGGGGTCATCAGAAAGGCGTGGTGCTTATCGAAGCGCAACAGCCACAAGCGCTATGAATTCAGAGGTATCGTCATCAGTATTCAAGCACATAACATTACTTCACTCGTCCTTGGGCATCCGTAATCCTGGCCCGGCCAGCCCAGAACACCCGGAACGAGCCCCGACAACAACAACCGGGCACCCGCAACCAGGAAGACCGGGACCCGGAACTTGGAACCAGGGCCCGGTCCATTTTGCTGCAAGAAAAACGAGATCCCCTCCAGGCAACATGTGTGTTATTACTGGTAGCGACTGATAGTGTTCTGTTTCCATCACAAGACATGATGCGCAACCTCTGCTGATCTACGACAGTGGGTAGGTGGTATGAAGTAGAGATCCCGAACACTGTCGAACACCACATCTGCATCCATGCCCAGAAAGCTCCCCGAAATCGTGGCCGCCACTCGTGGAACCAGACAGTGTTGTGTCCAGCAGATGCAGTAGCGTGCTCGATGCGAGTACTTAGCGATTGTTGCAGGAAGTCAAACGAGCTATCGATAGTTTTCATCGCGAGAGATGCAGTTCGAGTATGTCTTCCCCAGAAGTTTTGATGCGACTATCTTTGCACTCTCGCGTAGCATAAGTCAGAGGGCCCAGCGCATCTTACGACACGAAGGCATGAACGTTCCATCTGTGCAACCAGGTCTTTCGAAATCCGTTTGACAAAGGGTCACCGCTGAAGTGAGGTGCTCAGCTACAGGTCTATGATCCTGAATATACTATAATCATTATGGCCGGTTATCTTTTGGCGCATCAAATGCGGACGTGCTGCTCGACAATTAGTGCCGGCAATGTTTGGCAGCTGGCAGTCCGCAAAACGGGGTCTCCACTCAGCACTGGGACAGAGACTTTTCGATTTCTCCTTTTACTACCGCTGCTACTACGACAACTAACTAATTCTTCTCGATGGTAATCTGTAAAGCCGGACTGCACATAAGGTGCAGTCGCGATTACAACTTCAACGGGTCTATTCCTCAAAGCACGGCCCAGCCACCTCCTTCACTAGACATTTGAATGTTGTCTAGAGCCATGTTCTGAAGAACTTGAAGTGAGCACGATGAGTCACCAGTTTACCTGGCTCAAGTGGCGTTTCAGCCCCTGAAAACTATGGCACAGGGAAGGTCGTCATGGCTGTAGCTATTCTCAAAGTCATCCAAGCTTTCTTTGTATTACATAAGGTCATAAGGGTTTATATTGGAAAGCTGATCCTCCAAGAGTCTTCTCCGTTTAGAGCTGCCAAAGCTGTATGTTGGGTTGGACGCATTATCTCTTGAGTGCAGATCGGCAGAACTTCAGGAGATTTCTACCCCTTTCATGATTCTGAGGAATTGTCTGGACTTCTGGTGGTATCGGCGGCGATCCGCCATGAACCTGGGACTCCGAGAGATAGAACTTTGAGCATAGCCGTTGCTGCGCCCAATTGTGGGATCGGGCAGCATAGCAGCCTTTGCTGCAAGTATCCTTAATTAACTATCTACTCAAACCCTGACCCCGAAAGCCTCTGAGTAGCTAGGACTTAGTTAGAGCTCGCTGCAGCTGGCTCCGAAGCATCGGCCTCGGAGTAGATGTTGCGATCGATGTGGCGAGGGATTGATTACAAAAGGGCGACGGTGTACGTGTACGCCATGGTTGCAATGCATCCACTCGTATGTGCAGACGACCTGCTGTGATCGTAAGGCCTGCTGCCTGCGACATCTTTCCGTCATGCAATCGCAGATGCATCGACTGCCCCATGTGTGTTCTTTCGACGTGTGCTTCGCCCGATGGCTCCTAAAGAACCAGCTATCTCTCTCGTTCTCACAGTCTGGAGCAGGGAGTGGTTGAGAGCCTAGCTATGGCAGCTATGGATCCCTCCTTGAGCCTGACATGAAGTGTTGTTGCGTGACCCCGCCCCCGCTGTCAGCCTTGCGAGCTCCTGAGCGCCATGGCTATGCGTGCATCAACCACGTCGGGCGTGAAGCCAGGCACATGTCCCTCGAGTTTGGTTTAGTCCTCACCTGATGAAGAGACGCTTGCCACTGTATCTTAGCGTTGAGTCTGCTTCGTAAGCAATTGCACACGAGCTTCCAGATTGTCCGACTTTAACCGACTTTTGTCAGACCGGGTACTGCATGTAGTAGAGCAGCTTCTAATGTACGACTGAGACTGGTCTGTGGCCTATGGGCGCGGCTTTTGCTGGAACTGTTTGCCGAATCCACTTCGCAGCCCAGCTCTCGAATCGAATTGCTAGCGCTCACTGGAGCGCAGCCAACTCAGCCGCCCAAATCCGTCTAACTGGGTGTAACAGAGACAGCCTCGAAGGCTTCTCTGACCGTGTCTCCCGGCGTTCGGTGAAGCCCCGCGCCTCGTTTTCAGCCGGAGCCTTTGCTTCTACGTGTGTCGCAGTACGGCAAGGCCGCTTTCTCCTCAGAGTCTAAGGCTGCCTGTGTTTTGCGTGCCCAGTTAGGACATACACTCTTTTAGAATCTAGAATCGCCTGCGAAAGCTTCGAAGCATCTTCTCTTGGATTCCAGGCTTCAGCTGGAGATGGACTGTTTGTAGCCGCATTGCAGCCGAAGGTAGAACCAAACACAATAAAATCGAGACGGTCCAGTGCTTGATTTCGTATGTGCGCAGACTGGATTGGGCCCCGCAGTGCACGGCAGCAGCTGGCAAAATTGCAATATTGATGGATGTGCTGACTGGCATATTGCAAATCATGCTAAAGATGCGAAATGACGTCGGACACATACATACAGACATACATACATACATACATACATACATACATATCCATATCCAGATGTATACATAAATAGCACAAATAGCATACTTATCTATACATTTATGTGCATATATAAATATACATATTAATACACACACTCATGTGTTCTTTCATTGCCGATGTGTGTTACTTCATTTGGTAATTCGCCCTGAGGCTGAAGGGCAAAGTTTTTTTTGCCAAGGGAGGTCTTCGGAAGTATTAAGTTAAGTACTCAGGGATCTTTGCATGTGGTCGGAGGTCGACAACGTCTTCCGTTAGGAGTGTTTGAGCAGGTGAAGGCAGTTCACTGGAAGGCTTTGTTCCTGCATTTAGTCTTACTACGTCTTCATGAAGTCGCGACTGCTTATGCTGTACAGGTGGATGCAGTTGTCCAAGATCGATTCCGGAAGATGGTGCGATTCAAGCGTGTGCCCATTGAGTCCTGATCAGGAGGAAGCCTTGCGCCTTTGACAGGCCTGAAGCCCAAGCCGTAAGAAAAATGCTCCCGTACCTCGAATAAGATTGAAGCTGTTGTCGTCTCGGTCCCCGAGAGCTTCAAGCGTTGATCTCTTAATAGACTACATACACAGAACACAGACACACACACGCACACAGACGCCAACAAGCAGCGATTAAGCGAGCAAACAAACGCATGTGTATGACCATACATATGGCACCCAGCAATACGTACTGCACATGATGTTGAAACTCAAGTACATACACTCAGAGAGGTGTCCATACCAACTTATTTTTGTTATAAACCATAAGAGAAGTAGACGTTTATGCTTACATTACAATTGTATTGTCACCATATCGTCCATACATTGTAGTTATTGGTTATAAGTACCCTTTCAGTACAAGTATCTTATAGTTGTTATATGTACATTAACAGTTAGATACCTAATTAGGCTTGATTGCTCATGTGGACTTGCAAATGGCTGCCCTACTTGCCCTTCCGCGCCTCACCGCTCCCTGAATAGCCTCCCAGAGCATGCATGGCAGTTTAAGCAGGTACTGGCTACATACGGCTTGATTGACTCTCAGCAAGGCTGGAGCACGCAAAGCTCCAGGAGTTCGGACGACATACGTGAGGGTTTGTGTCGGTCATGGGCACACTGGATCTGGGTGTTGCAGAGCCATCGTGTTGTTCAGATTGCAAATCGAGCTCCAATCATCAGTCATCCCTCCCGGCGAGTTCTGTAGATGGCAAATTTTTACGGCAGCAGGCACGTGGAACTTGACCGACCGCGATGCCGTTGATGAGCTCGTTAACATCTTTGAGATCAACGAAGACAGGCGCAGGGATGGAGACCTGGGAGAGTGGTCCCAGCTCTTAAGCCGAAGAGGAACTGTCCCGAGTCGTGATACCCAAGCCCAATGGATCGCTATGTTCAACCTTGTCAGTTTCAAGTCGATGGTGCAGCGCTCGACCGTGCCGAGGACTAAGTTCGCAACCCATGCCACTCACTTCTCCATTCCTATAAACTCCGCCAAACATGTTCCGGATTGCCAGCTATTGCGCGATGTCCTGGTACACGCTTTTATCTGCCTGCACAAGCCATGCTGAGGTTTGTCCCTGTATCTAGGATGCGAAGTCAGACATGCGGCATGGCAGACTCTGGATCCGCACCCAGGTGGAACTCCCGCACCAGCCGTATCACCACGCGAGCCTCAGTAGCGCGGGTACCTCAGTCCGTCAAAGACTTCAAGATTCAAGATCAGGGGATCGGGGATCGGTTACCTCGTGATTCCGGTCTGCAAAGCCAGGGTGGGGTCCAGAATTCCGCGTTTCGTACCTTACTAGGTGCCCTATGCGCGTGACTGTGACCGAAATAATGCACATCCTGCCAGCCTGCAATGACATTGCCGTGGACATAGCATTACATGATGATTTGACATCAGACTGGTAGTACTGATAGTGATCGTGCTGGTGCTCATGCCGGTGCAGGAACGGCGCGGGATGGTCAGAATGTATGGCAGCTCAAGCAGTCTCGTTCCCCCAAATTCTCGAAGGTCTGCTGGGCCGGATGCCGCCGGATGCCAAGAGTTTCTACGAAGGGCCTCTTAAGGGCTTCTACAAGCTAAGGGTTCTATATGGGCTGCTATAAGGCTGGAGTGTGATAATGCTGCACTCGAAGAAGACCCGTCTTTCCGAGCCACACAAGCTGCTGCAAGGGTTGTGCCATCGGTGCCGGGTGGTTAAGCTTGAGCCCTGTGACTAGTTGCTGCCACGGCACAAAAGGTTTGACGACTGCCTGAGCCACTTTCGTGGTTCCTTGCCAAAGAGGCCGGCCCAGTCGATATGGCTCCATGATGCTCCATGTATCGATCGTTCCTGTGGTTCTATCTGGTTTGATGTCTGTTCACATCTGTAAATGAGCTTCATGCAATGTATCTGCAAATACCCGTGTATGCATGGACAAACACGGGTCAACTTCTGAGTTCGAGCGGCGCTTGCTGCATTTTAAGTCAAAGTTGGGCAAGTCGCTGACTTTCAGCTCCGTCAGAGATGGCAAGTCTTCTTCTTGACGAGCACTCCATGGTCGTAAGTGGTAAAACCGTAAAGGGTGTGCGACCCATGTGCGTTCCGACATGCAAGGCCCAATCTGTACACCATTTTCGCACCCAGGGCGAGTCATCAGACTTGACGTGACCATGATATGACAGGGCAAAGACGTGTGTAACTCGCAGGGGACTTGTGCACCGGGATCAAGCAGAGGTTATGAGTCTCTTGAGAGAACTGAATCTGACAACGTTTCGCGGCTCGGAATCATGGACCGTCAGTCGCTGCACAACTTTATATAGGACAGACAGATGCTGGCCGAGCTCAAGCTTGGCTACACCATAAAACCCAAAAGCAGACTATGACTACACCATCAAATGATGGCCCCTGCTTCACGAAACAGACGACCCTAATCCGAACTTGGGGGTGCCAAAGGGTCAAGCCTGTCAGAGAACAAGTGAAGTCTTCGCCGCGCCAGGCATGGCGACTGGATGAGCAAGCGCTGAGCAGATACGGCGTTCTAATTGTTTTTGGCCACCTTAGCAGGCGGAGGTTTGGTCCTTCCATCGTCCGAACTATTTTTGCTTGTTGTGTTCTCACTTTTAATCCTGATTGATTTTCTCTTGGTGGCCCGCATGTTGCAGGGGCTGCCTACGCGAAAATCGCAGGCGCCTGTGTTCACTAATTTGGGCATGCCTGGATAACGAGCGGAAGAACTGAGCACCTGGGCAGTTGAAAATCATGGAAAGAGGTGCCACCGTGGTAAGTATATACAGACATCATGTTTGCACAAGACCTTTTTATTTATCTATGCCTGTCTCTGCCGCTCCTCATTCTTTACTTTAGAACTTACGGATCACGGATGTCGCTAGACCTAGCAACGACCTCGATTCTCCGTCCCCAAGGGACGGAATTGCTGAGAATTTGAGGTGCCCGATGCATGCAGAAAAGATGGCGGTGCCTCATTACACGATATTGTTGTTCATCAAAGTGCTACTCGTATAAGATTTCTTGTGAAAAGTCCTTAATCTATATTCTGAAGATCTGATATGGATTCTCGGTGTCGTGCGGGTCGCCCTGTTTTTTTGTGCGCGCTCCTGGCCCCTGTAACCTCGTCTTTTGGTGCGCTTCTTCTTGAAAATCTCTTGCGTGCTTGTCTCGCGGTACTAAAACTCTGGAAATTGCAGTACCGGGAGCCTTTCTCTGCCGGTTCTATAATTTTTCCGAAAAGTCGGAAGCTGCAGGAAATCTCGCGACACAAAACTTGTAGAATCTTGATAGCTTTAGGTGGATGCTGCTTAAAATAAAATTTCCGAAATTTTGGGTAGGGCATGTTCGCGGTAAGTAGAATTATCGAAATCTTAGTATTTCGAGCTCTTCTGACGTGTTTTGGGAATTGGGCATTGATAGAAGTTATTAATTTGGCCTGTTTGCTTACTATTATTACTACTACTACTATTATTCTATTATTATTACTATTACGGTTGTTAATATTATTATTACTACTGCTATTATTATTATTATTACTAGTACTAGTAATATTATTATTATTACTATTACTATTATTATTATTATTATTGCTACTACTATTATTACTACTACTATTACTATCACTATTACTTACTATTATTATTACTACTACTTTGGAAACAAGATCTCTTGGGAACGTCTGTTATTTGAGGCTCCGTTCTCTTCTGGACTTTCGGTTTGAGGCTGTTTAATACGAGATTTCTATTCAAATAAATTACGTAGTAGGCTCTAGGTAGATGCCGTGCGAAAGTCGAGGTTGCTAGATCAAGGTAACGGCCTATTGCTAGTTCCACGGCTACTACTGGTTTATACTACGACTAGCACTAGCATTTATAGTCGCACTAGCACTAGTACTACAGCGGGAAGCATGGACCCTCGTAAGACTCTGTATATGTATTAATATATACTTGAATTTGTGTCCACGAAGGGTGCGTGAAAATTAGGACGAAAATTACGCTTAAAAAAATTATATTGAAGATGTCTATTTCGAGAATATATTGATTTAGATTAATGTCCAATTAGGTGACTCTAAAATTAGATACGTATATATTTATCTCTGAATAAGATTCTATATATCTATCTATTTAGATATTTTTTCATATCTCTCTAGAGATCTCTCTCTCTATATATATATAT